ATGCTTTTAATTTTTCATTTTCCAGAATGTGGTAATATAGTTTCACGTTTATCTATTTGATCAAAAACCTGTTTTGTTTTTTTTTTTTTTTTTTTTTGAGACGGAGTCTCACTCTGTCGCCTGGGCTGGAGTGCAGTGGCCGGATCTCAGCTCACTACAAGCTCCGCCTCCCGGGTTCATGCCATTCTCCTGCCTCAGCCTCCCAAGTAGCTGGGACTACAGGCGCCCGCCACCTCGCCTGGCTAGTTTTTTTGTATTTTTTAGTAGAGACGGGGTTTCACCGTGTTCGCCAGGATGGTCTCGATCTCCTGACCTCGTGATCCGCCCGTCTCAGCCTCCCAGAGTGCTGGGATTACAGGCTTGAGCCACTGCGCCTGGCCCAAACACCTTTTTTTTAAAAAAAAAAAAAAAAATACAGGATCCCACTCTTGCCCACGCTGGAGTGTAGTGGCGTGCTCATGGCTCACTGCAGCTTCAAATTGCTGTGTTGCCCAGGCTGGAGTGTGACATCTGTTTACGGGCACAGTCATAGTACACTGCAGCCTTGAACTCTTGGGCTCAAGCAGTCCTCCTACCTGAGCTTCCTGCGTAGCTGAAACTACAGATGCACGAGACTGCATCCAGCTATCTGTTTTGATTTTATAATATCCTATGTGGTAAAATACCAACTCAGTGTGCTAAATTATGGTTCTGGTTAGGGCAGAATCTGTGTTCGAAAAAGTATGCAGGTATTGAGAATTACAGAAGAAAGTTCTGGGATCTGGAAGTGGGAAGAAACTCAGAAGCGCAGATTATGTGTATGGATGATAGCCTTGGGTGGGATGAAGAATGGAATATAGAGTTAGGTTAGGCACTAAAGTTGTCAGCTCACTTCACCTCTTTAGTAAAGGGAGTGGGAGATGCCTTTATTGGGAGGAGCAGCAGCAGAGAAAGCCTGGGTTGGGATGAGGAAGTTACACATTTTTGGCAAGTGGCCCAAAGAGAAAAGTAGGAAATGGTTTTGTGAAACCAGAGGAGATAGATAAGGTCAATCAGTTGAAAGGGGGTGTGAGGCGGGGGCTGGGGGGGACGTCGAGGGGAGATATTTTGCAAAAGCAAAAAGGAATTAGTAAATAGTACTAGAAATTAGGGCCTGGTGCAGTGGCTTATGCCTGTAATCCCAGCACTTAGGGAGGTCGGCACTTAGGGAGTTGGGTGGGTCATGTGAGATCAGGAGTTCGAGACCAGCGTGACCAACATGGTGAAACTCCGTCTCTACTAAAAATACACAAAAATTAGCCAGGTGTGGTGTGGCATGTGCTTGTAGTCCCAGCTACTTGGGAGGCTGCAGCAGGAGAATCACTTGAACCAGGGAGGCGGAGGTTGCAGTGAGCCAAGATCATGCCACTGTACTCAAGCCTGGGGGACAGAGCAAGAGTCTCAAAAAACAAAACAAAACAAAACATTAACCTGACACTCAAATAGATTTCTAGAGAAAAGGGAAGTGTAGAAGAAACTTGAAAGGCTTATTCTACCTTGATGGGAGCATTTACTCTAATTATAATTGACAGCTAGCTTTTCTCGTTTATCATGGAAAATACTTCACTTTTCTAAAATATTTCTTACAAATATTTCTTACAGTGCCTTCATTCTTTGGTTTCTCTTGATTCCTGAACATCTTTTTCTGAGTAATTTGTTTCCTAGGAAGAATTTTGTTGGGAGAGTCTGCCCTGTGCCTGTGATTGTACAAAATACAGCTCCCAGTATAAATATATAAGTTCCCAAATAGTTAAAAACTTTTGTGAGCAAATGACTTGGTTTATCTCATGTAGTCAGTGTGGGTGAATGGTTTAAAGTGGAGTTTCTGCACTAGTGAAACTCTTAGAAATTGAGCCTCCTTTCTCAACTATTGACTGTAAGAGGTAGGGCAGGAGGGTGGTATACAGGGATAGGGAAGGAGTGTGGTTCTTGTATAAATGAGGCAGAGAGAGATACCCTGAAAGAGGGGAGGGTGAGTAGAGAGAAAAAGAGAGGGAGAGAGGAGACCAGACAGAGAGAGAGGGCCAGGGGAGACGGGGAGAGAGAGTGTACACATCAAGAGAGCGTAGATAAATGGTGAAAGAGAATGGTGGCAGGAAGATAGTGTAGAAAGGAATGGAAAATGCTACAAGGGCAGGATGAGCAAGTTTTGAACGTAGGGGAAGAGATAGTGAAAAGCCAAGGCAAGACCAAGAGAGCACATTCATCAAAACCCACAGCAGAAACTGACAGCAGTTTTATCTAGTAAAATAAGAGAATACTGGAAGTGGAAACTTCCTTTGACTGCCAGGGTGCAGCTTGGTGGTACAGAAAGAGCCTTGAACTTTAAATTGTAAGACTTGGATTAAGATCCTGCCAGTGCCATTTAAGTGCTCGGAGCCTTAGTTTCCTCCTGTGCTCTCCCTACTTAACAATGGTTGGAGAAGGCATTTCTCGGAGGATAAGTTTCCTAATCTAAAATGGGAATAATCCCTATGAGATTGTTGTGATGGCTACATAAATATGCACAGCACATACTTTTTTTCTTATTCTTCCTACTTAGTTTCCTTGGGACATATAAATAGATTTTCAATATTTCTGGTTGAAACTGTATTTGTAGATTTTGGATTTCCAAGAAATGCCTAGCTCTATTTAAATGTATAATTAGATTCCACAGAAAGAGCTAGATACAGAGCTTTGTGCATTTGATTTACATGCTTTGTCAATGTTAATGCTGGCCTAAAGGTTTATCATTTCATATAACATTTGTAGAGTTCCCAACGAACATCCTGTCTTCATCCTCCCTACACTCCTTTATTTTTATTATATACAGTTTAGGAGTCTTTTTATTGTGCTCATCTAAATAATGTAAATACTGTGTAAGATGATCATAGCTCCTATTTCAGGGCCTTTTTGAAACACCACAATATTATAAGCCTTGTCTGTCTCTTTGTGCTCATGTAACTAACTAAATTTTACTCTGAGTTTTATAAATTTCAGTGTTTAGTGAGCATTCCCAATCTTTTGTATCTTAGTGATACAGTGTGTCTCATTTGTAGCATAGTATTGGCTGTGGGTTTTAAAAATATATGATTGAAAACAATAATGCAACTGTATCTTTATGCAGTGTTAGTTCTGACAGTTAAGATTCTTAGGTGATGTCAAATGTATAGGCTGCTAGGCAGCATGTTAATTAAATTCTTTTTTTTTCCCCGAAGCCAGTCTCACCCAGGCTGGAGTGTAGTGGCTTGATTTCCGCTCACTGGAGCCTCGACTGCCCAGGTGCAGGCTATCTTCCCACCTCAGCCTCAGCCTCTGGAGTAGCTGGGACCATAGGCGTGCATCACTATGCCCGGCAATTTTATTTTTATTTTTATTTTTAAAAGTTTTATTTGTAGAGACGGAGTACTTTATTGCCCACACTGGTCTTGAACTCCTGAGCTTTAGTGATCTTGCCTCAAATAAAATTCTTAAACTGATTCTCTTAACTGTATTCTGGCTCATGTTCTCCATACTCTTCTCTCATTGCTTGGCCCTAACTTGACCCTCTTTACGTTTATCCACTGGTAGAAATTGTAAACTGACATTGGAAGGTAGTGGAGATCAGAGGGAGGAGTTTGAGAGAAACTCCTGCTTCAGGTAGTCAACATTGTTGTTTTTTTTTTTTGGAGACAGAATCTGTGTTGCCCAGGCTGGAGTGCAATGGCGTGATCTTGGCTCACTGCAACCTCTGCCTCCTGGCTTCAAGTGATTCTCCCACCTCAACCTCCTGGGATTACAGGTGTCTGCCACCATGCCTGGCTAATTTTTGTATTTTTTTTTGTAGATATCACCATGTTGGCCAGGTTGGTCTCGAACTCCTGACCTCAAGTGATCCTCCCACCTCAGCCTCCCAAAATGCTGGGATTATAGACTTGAGCCACCGCGTCCAGCGTTTTTTTTTTTTTTTTGAAAAAGGATCTCGTTCTGTTACCTAGATTGGAGTGCAGTGGTGTGATCGTGGCTCACTGCAGCCTCTAGCTCCTGGGCTTACGTGATCCTCCCACCTCAGCCTCCTGAGTTTCTGGATGTGTGCCACCACAGCCCAACTAATTTTTATATTTTTTGTAGAGAGGGCAATTTTTCCATGTTCCCCAGGCTGGGAGCCTACGTCTTTAATAAATAAAGGAATGTACTCTTGAATCCCTTGCCTGGATGGGTAGTGACTCTAGCCTCAGGCAGCAGAAACAGCTTGCTGCTTATAACAGAGAAAACCAGTAAACTAGTTGAATTATAACTGTTTTGAATAATCTATTTCACACATCATCCTTGATGTTATTACCTTGTAGGAATGACTTCGGAGATAGATAGGTAAATGGAAGCCTAAAGAGATTGTTATGCTGTAGTTAGGATTACATTTAACAATGAGTAAGGGTTGGAGGGATTCTTGTGACACGTTATTTTCTCCCCCTGGATATGAGGTTTGGGGAACCCGAGGAATCTCCCAATGTGGAGAAATATTGGGATACTTCATTATAGGGTTTGCATCCCCCCCTTTCCTGAGGTTTACCAAAGAAAAATAGTGGATTGGAGCAAATGCACTCCCTAATTTAACTTAACTATTCACAACTGGGGAGGAGCCATGATCTTTTGACTCATCAGGTCACATAGTCATCTTCAAGACATCATTGCTCTTCAGCATGTTGGTCTTTACTTATTAAATTAAAAAGTATGAAAAATAGCTAACATAATTCTCGTGATGGAATTTGCTTTTTCATTTATTTGGATTTTGTGCTTTTCATGTTTTGAAAATAAAAGGGAATGGGAGGGGAGAAAGTAGGGGTCATTGCTGAACCCTGATGCTTAAAGGTAGGTGAATGTTTAATCTCTGTCGCTTGATCATTGCTATTGTCTTTGCCAATGTCTGAAAGTTAGCATAGAATAAATTTTCAGTTGTGTGTAATGTGTATGTAAAATTCAAGATGCTGACTTGAAGATTTTTCCATCTCTATTCTAAACAATAGGTGCGTTCCATGGATGAACTGAATCATGATTTTCAAGCACTTGCTCTGGAGGGAAGAGCGATGGGAGAGGTAAGTGAACTGGTGTGTCAGAAAAGTGGGTTGTTTTTAAGGGAAGGTTGGAGTTGTCTTTCATCAAATGTGTCCAAATCTAGTCTCCAGAAATATGTGCTTGCTTTTCCTTGTTGCCATTCTCATGATAGGGACAGGATGCTGGAGAATTTTGCCAAAACTATGTCATTAGAAGAAGAATGTTAACCATAACCTAATGTTTTAAAAGCAAAACAAAGTAGCCAACATGTGAGCACAAATTATTGAATATTAATGTCAGCTATAAATTGAGTCATTAAAAACTTAAGAAGTATTTTAATTTTATATGCATTAAATTAAAGGCCAACCTTTGCCTCATTTTCCAGTGGCTAGGTCCCCCCCCCAACCCCCCGTCAATGGCAAAGGGAGTCTTAGATTGGCTTACTAATCAGAAAATGTCAGTAACCTATTTTTAGAGTAGTGCCTTTTTTGAGGAAGTTGTTTAGAACTCCATTGTGAAAGGGAAGTTGTTAGGTTTCTGGTGGAGGAATTACGGAAGGTAGAGACCTGAGCTAGTCATACCTTACAGGAAATTCAGAAATAAGAATTTTGCTTTGATTGTAATGTTTAAAATTTGCAGAAACAAAATTTACTTTTATCCATTGCGTCAATAGAGAAGGTTGCCATAAGTCTTAAAAAGGAAGGGGAGTATAGATATTAACATGTAGCCAACTGCTGGCTATTCTAGGTGTGACAATAAGCATGTATTGATGACAAAGATAGAATATACAGTTTGAATTAACTACTTAAAATACCACAGACTCACAAGTGGTATTTGTTGTGACTTTCTTGTTCTGGAAAGTAACTTTAGGTTTTCTCTTCCATTTCATTTTTTTGTGTATCTAACATTTGATAGCTCCTATGTTGATTTTAATGTTTCACAAGAGGGAGAATTACTTTATTCTGCGGTCCTCATTTATACCATTTATTAGATACAATTGTTCTTTGATTTAGCAAATATTTGATCCCCAGGCACTGTGCTAGGTTCTGAGGTCAAAATTAGGATAATTACACTTCTGAGTTTGAAGCAGATATTCCTTGATTGCCTTTGTGGTTAGGCAGTGAATAGTTAAAAATTGTTGATGTCTAAACTGAGATTCTTGCTTTCTTTGTTATAAGATTTTGTTTCTAACTTTCTGAATCGTCTTGTGGCCACAGAGTCCAGTGTCCTATCATCTTGAGTTCATACATTTTTGGTCTGTTTTCCTCCTAGAATTTTAGGAGATGATTGGGAGATGTCCTTGTATTTCCTGTGCCTGTCACTGACACAATGCAAATCAATAAATCAATGTATGGTTAGAAAGTCTAAAAGACTTTGTCATTAAGTTTTTGGAGCAAATTTGAACAGAAAGTTAACGTATTTGTTGGATATTAAGCATAGAAAGAGAAACTATGTTTATTGTCTTTCTTACTCCTATAATTCTAACCTGGTGTATTCCACCAAAAATCCAATTCCAGGTTGTTTTTCTTTCTTTTTTGAATTTTTTATAAAAATAGAAACAGAGTCTCACTATGTTGTCCAGACTGGTCTTGGGCTCAAGTGATCCTTCTGCCTTGGCCTCCCAAAGTGTTGAGATTACAGGCATGAGCCACTGTGTCCAGCCTGTTTTTCTTTTAAAAAAATTAATGATACAAAATAAGAATAATGCCCTATTACTGTTTTGTGAGCAACAGTTTATAATCACCGAATGCTTAATTTTAATTGAATAGCAAGCAATTTCAGTAGAGGGTAAAGTTTATTTAAATGACAAGTTGACAGTGTTAAATTCTTTTTTATCATTTTTTTTCTTCTTCCAGAAACGCCTTTTTTTTTTTTTTTTTTTTGGTATATGTGTATAATTCCTCGGGCATGGATATAGGCATATGTTAATAACAAAACAGTATATTCCATCAGTAATGCTGTGTCATTCTTCCTTTCCCCACTATTCACAAGTAACAGTAACAACTACTATTTATCAACCATAGGTAGATGCTAAGGGGTTCTTATTCATTATCTGATTAATAACTCTATGAGGACAGTTCTATTATCTGGATAAGGAAAAAGGCCAAGAGAGACGAAATAATTTACCCAGGGTAACACATCTAGTAAGTGATAGGATTCTTCCCTGGCTTCCTCCCATTGCAAAGCATGTGCCCTTAATTAGGGTAAATGAAGTTAGTATCTGTAAAATAATTGAGAGGTTAAACATTTCCTAAGTGTGGAGTGAGGTTTCTTTATTCAAGGAATTCTTTTTTTAGCTAGTTGAGGAAACAATGAATATACCTATAAACAGAAAGAGCAAATTTTTTTCTATGTATGGTTGGCGTTCAGAGAAGGAGGGAATCATTATTAACAGGACTATTTAGACTTTAATGGAGGAGGAGACATATTCCTTAAAAAGCATCTTCTAGTTTAGGCTTTGGATAGGTACAGATTAAGAGAGTTTTTTTGCAACAACGTGAGAACAGCACAAAAGAAAAAATGAAATAAATTTTTTTTTTTTTTTCTTTTGTTTTTTTTTTTTTTTTTAAAGAGACAGAGTCTCACTCTGTTGCCTAGGCTAGAGTGCCGTGGCACAATGTCGGCTCACTGTAAACTCTGCCTCCCAGGTTAAAGCAGTTCTCCTGCCTCAGCCTCCTGAGTAGCTTGGGACTACAGGTGCACGCTGCCATGCCCGGCTAATTTTTTTTTTGTATTTTAGTAGGAGCAGGGTTTCACTGTGTTGCCCAGGCTGGTCTTGAACTCCTGAGCTCAGGCAGTCCGCCCGCCTCGGCCTCCCAAAGTGCTAGGATTACAGGCGTGAGCCACCGTGCCTGGCAGAAAATAAGCTTTTATAATAAAAAAGAACAGCTTGTAATTAACTTTATTAAATTTTCTTTCTTTTTAGCAATAAAATATCTCTGAGAGGGAGTGTGTATAAATACACTATTTACTGGCCAGGAGCGCTGGCTCACGTCTGGAATGCCAGCACTTTGGGAGGCCAAGGTGGGCAGATCACCTGAGGTCAGGAGTTCGAGACCAGCCTGGCCAACATAGTGAAACCCCATCTCTACTAAAAATACAAAAATAAGCTGAGTGTGATGGTGTGCGCCTGTAGTCCCAGCTGCTTGGGAGACTGAGGCAGGAGAATCACTTGAACCCAGAAGGTGGAGGTTGCACTGAGCCCAGATAGTGCCACTGCACTCCAGCCTGGACGACAGAGTGAGTGAGACTCCGTCTCAAAGAAAAAAAAAAAAACACAAAAAACAAACCAGTATTTACCCATATAAACACTAGACGTAAATTGCATGACTTTTAAGCCAGGCACAGTGTCTTCGTTTCAGTTATTTGTTTTTTTTTTTTTTTTTTTCTTGTGGCTGTGTGGGCACCTATGCGCTTGTGCATCTGTGTGAGTCTAGGGTAAACGCTAGTTATGTAAAGAATGTATGGAGTCTTTAGAATTCAAATAGAATTGGTTCCCTTCAAAGTAATTGATTTCTAGTAGTTAAAGTTAGTGCTGGTTGGCTCTTGTTACTTTATTTTCTTCAAAGCCACTGTTGGCCTCTTGGTGTCACTTTGAAAGGTTTACAGTATTTCTTAGAAGAAATCTTGCTAAGAAGTGACTACTTAAAATATCACTCTCCAAGCTGTTCTTAGCTGAAGGACTCATAGTACAAGTGCTTTATGTGCCTCCTATTCTACAAAGCTCATATAAAAAAGAAGATAGGAAAATATGTTAGGATCAGGGCCACAAATTATTTAAAAAGGTTTTGTCTACTTTCCTTGTTAGCCCCTTTCATTTGGCTTAAAGCCCTGAAAAGTTTAAAGGCACATACTTTAGCAGATTTTATTTGCATATCAAGAGATCAGTCCGTTAATCAAGGATCCTAGAAAAAGATGTTTGTAGTACAGAGGAAGGCTCACTGACCTTGGGCTTCTGGGCGCTATTTCTAAATTGGTTTGATTTATGATCTTGCATAACCTGTTTGCTCCACCTGTAGGTTGGCAGCATTGTTACTGTTCATGACCTAGAAAAGGATGGATTTTTAAAAAAGAGAGAAGTTGTAGTTGGAAAGTACTTTGAGAGTTTGACAGAAAGGTACTTTGTTCGCATAATTGGTTTTTTAACTTTTAAAAATCAAGGACCTTTTTTCCCCTTAAGATTCTTTAATGTTTTATGTGTAGTAAACTTGACAGCTTCCAGGGAAGTTAAAATAGTAGTGAATACTAGCTTATTTCTACAACAAATGAATTGTATTTAGATATGTGACTCTTCATCTTTGTCTTAGAAAGCTGAAGCATAGAAAAACATACCCTTGATTATAACGACTTTGTAAACCTGACAAAGGAAATCTAGAAAGTGCTTCTGTATATAGAGTGATAACGAATCCTACCTTCTTCACAGGAATTAGGATAACTTGAGATGTATTTAAATTGTAGCTTTATATTCTCATTAGACATTATATAGTACTTGATCCATTGGTGTGGGATAGCAGAATGGCAGAGGGAGGAATTTGATAGTGATTTGGGTGAGCTTTAATCCAAAGAAAGGCAAAATTTGGTGGGTTAGAGGTAGCATTGGATTGGGCCAGAACTCTGACACCACAACTTCTTAGAACCGAGGTTCAAACATTTATCTTCTTTGGACTTACTTTTTTCTACCCGTAAGATAAAGATGTTGAACTAGATAATTTCCCAGGACCTTTTCAGGTCTAAGATTCTGAGAGCTTGCCCTTGTTTCTTTCTTAAAAAAGATAGAAAAGAGGAATTGTTCTGGCTTTTTTAGGATATACTAGAGAGTGTCTAAAAGATATCCTTTTAGATTGACTTTCCCCCTGTGATTTAGAGATTTTGTAACTTTTCATTGGTTTTTTTTTTTTTTTTTTTTTTTTTTTTTTTGGGAGACGGAGTCTTGCTCTGTCACCAGATTGGAGTGCAGTGGCGCAATCTTGGCTCACTGCAAACTCCACCTCCTGGGTTCAGGCGATTCTCCTGCCTCAGCCTCCTGAGTGGCTGATGCGTG